TGAGATTATCAGATCCATGATGCAGTAATAAATGGTGTGTATTTTTATTCACTAGATTCTTGATTAATTCTTGTAGGATTCTGGCTGTGTTTTAGCCAGTTCAATTCTATGTTATCTGAGTAGGATTCAGAAATCTCTGGCAGAGCATATTCTTGTCGACTAAGCCTGCATGCATTCGCCAAGGGAAGCCATTTCAACGGTGACGTTTACTTTCCTTGTTTGATTCAGAAACAACTTACAGCTATCACCGTATAATAATTAGTGAGAAGAGGGAGAGAGAGAGAGACAACCAGCTATCTGTTTTTCGATCACCAATTTACCGTCACCGACATACGTCGCTCGTGAATCCAATCTTTCCCGACTACCAGTGATTGGCTTCGTCTTCCCAACGGCGCACAACGAAGGTGCCGTCGGTGCGTGCGGAAGTCACGACGGACACCGACGACCGAGGGTTTGGTTGTACTACAAATCTTCGAACCGGAGGAGGAAGGCAAGAAGGCAAGGACATCCCGACCTGATTGAAAACATCGGAGGATTGTCGGAGACCCGGTAGAAGACCCGCTTCGACGAAGCCCATGGCCTGCTACGACGGAAGCGTAGACCCTCTACGGCGGGAACCCACAGCCTGCTTGAGCTTAGCCCATGGCCTGTTATGACATAGCCCACAACGGAAGTCTTAGGCCCGCTACGTCGAAGCCCACAGCCAGCTAGATAGAGAGAGAAAACCGTTATGACGGAGCTCGTGATCTGTTACGATGGAGTCATCAACCCAATATAAGCGAAAAGCCATCACGACAAGAGCTTGGGCCCACTATGGTGGAAGCACTTGACCTGCTGTAGTGGCGACAAAGGCCTACTATGACAAAGATAATCGTATGTCAAGATATTTAGGTAAAGCACGTAATATGCTCGAAACGCGTAAGTTGAAAAATTCGACCAACGTTATATGTCCGATCACAACAAGCCCACTAAATAAGATATGCCCAAAATATGAAAATCAAGGAGTTCGATCCAATTGACCTCGACCTAACAAATTAACAAAATGACGTACGTCGAGCCCCTTTGCTATAGTCTCAAAGCCAAAATACACCTCAGCACATCCCCAAGATCCCGAGGGAGCTTAGATAACCTCGATTAGAATCTACCTTAGCTGTACAAGCAGCACATCGTGATTACAGATATACCTTCGGGATAAGATCACTCCCTGATCAATGATATCAAGACGATAACTAATTTTAATATATATTTTTTTAAAATAAATGATAATATATAATTAGCCCAAGTTTAGAGTTGAACTCTTAAATTTTTATAATTTTTTTTATCTTCATAGTTAATGATATATATATATATATAAATTTATCTAATAAATGAAGCAACATTTAAGTTCTCAAATATGTCATTGTGGGTGAAGTATGTGCATTCTCTCTCCTCGTGGCAAAAATGAATGATGGATGTGGTTCAGTCGAAAATTATCTTCACATGCCCTTGCCTTGTTTCTATCATATCTAAAGGAAACGTTGGCAATAATAATGATTTCAGAAACCTCTATGATTACTAGAAATGATCCTCATCATTGTCAGCATTTCTTGGATTTGAAGTCATGTCACCACCATCCAATCCCGTCTTCTGAGAATAATTTTGTTCATTTGGTTAAGAATTTTAATCAGATAACCAAGCTCGAACACCGAAAGGTGAAGCTGAGAGAAGTATTGGGCTCTTCAAGCGTCCATTGGTTGCTTTTTAGTTCGTGTAGTGATGATGTCGGGAGAATTAATGGCGGACCGGTGCATTTCAAATTTATGATTTAAAAAAAAAAAAAAAAATTATTATTTTATTATTAATATTTTTTATTCTTAACTCAAATATATGTCTTCATCATACTAAGTATTTTATAAGCTAAAAAAAATGATCAGATCGTAAGTAACCAAAAATCTTTCATCCGGACTCAGATCTATTATAAAATATTTTTTTTAAATAAATATAATATAAAATATATCAAGAATTAGATAGAAATATTTACAAATCATAAAAAATAATCTTTAATATTAATTAAATATATATTTTTAATACTTTAATATAAAAATAATAATATATTGATTCATTTTAAAACTCATGCATCAAAATAATAATAATAGTCGGATAATAATTACATACATCACATTTGATGACACATTTTTCCAATAACCAATGGAGAGTTATACTTAACGGGATAGATTCCTCCTTATTGAGAATGGAAAGAACCCATATAGCACTTTCAACATCGGATGGAGTGGTATCTCTTGTCCATCCAAGTAGAACATGTTCCTCCTAATAGCAGATGAAGGAACCATTTATTTTAATACAAATCAATTATTTGTGTTAAGTTGCTCTAACAAGATAGATATTCAAAAGGTATAAATCATGATTCTCTAAAGGGAGAATCATGTGCAACGAATTGTATATTTGATGATGGTAATCTCAAGATAATAATTTCATAAAGCTCAACATACTGAATGAGCGATAAGAAGTTATCGCATGATCTTGCATGAGGTACTACGTTGGTAAATGTATTTTAAGATAAAGTTAGAAAGCGACCTAAGATAACATTAAATGAAACACACTTAGAGTCTATATAGAGATCAGACTCAACGGAGGGCTGACCCATAGAATAGGGAGTGCGAGAGCTACCATTAACTCAATGCAAATCAAGTAGTGGACCAACTTGGGTGGAACTTGGTGAAGTGCCTAAACCGAATGAAGGGAGTCAACATAAAAGATAAAATATAGAGTAGAGGCACGAAACCTTCGTTAGACGGAGGTCAATGACTTGAACTTTTGCAAATATAAGATCGAGATCATATTATTCCATGGGTCTCTTGTTCTAATAAAGTAAACTTATCCTATATGATGCCAAAATTGAATGGTACTTTAAGGTACATGCACCTTATCTCAACGAAACATTTGAAAGCAGAACTAAGATGACTCAACTTTAGAAGACAAAGTTAGGATCAAAATGCCTTGGCATAAGACAAGTTGCTAGTCATAGGTGTCCTGCAAGTCAATCAGGGGAGTGATAACATATGTAACATGATATACACTATTTTTGCTTATTATATATTTGACCTCTTTTTTACTTGTTATATATATTGTGATGTCTATATATATGTATAATGAGAATCAGATCGTAATGAGATCATGATAATGAGACTGATTTGCCTTTAAACACATATTCTAAATAATCATAATCATAGATTACTCGAGAGGAATATTGAGATAACCGAATAGACTGGTGCGCTGTATGCTCATCCATATAATGGAGGTAGCTGGTGTGCTGTATGCTCATCCATATAATGGAGGTAGCTGGTCTCATAGTTGTTCATGTGGGGACACTAAGGATATAGCACAGGTGCTGATTGGAGAATAAGTTCATTGATCGATCCACTCACGGAATGCTAGATGGTTGATAATACTTCATTGTCAAACAACGATTTCAACGTCCTAATGGTTTATCTAGTTCTTAGACTTGAGATACCAATGATATCATATATGAGTACTCTACTCTTCGATATCAGACTTATAGACTTGGAAGTTTCAGATCTAGCACAACCGATCGTCGAAAGTAATAGTAACCTTACGAGGGTTATAAAGTGTCAATAGAGGATCATCCGCTCTCGGTATTATGAGAAGAACATCCTATGTGATCTTGCTTAAGTAAATCGCTGGTCAAAGTCATTCGGATTGAGAGAGAAAGGGTTCTCTTGAAAAATCTGGTTACAACAAGGCTTGAGTAGAAATCGTATAGGCCTAGCAACACCATATCTGAAATACAATCTTTGAGATATTAGATGAATGAGAGACTATATATACACGACAACTAAGGACAAATATATCCAATGGATTGGATTCTCTTATATCGTACGGGGACTACGACGTAGTGGCGTAATACATCAATAGTTGATGAGTCGGGTGAATTATTATGAAGATAATAATTTTGACAGGTATGACTCACAGCTAGATCAAGATTGAGCTTAGAAGGTCACACACATATGTTAGGTATTGCGATGAGTAGAGGTTCAGATATGAGATATCCGTTTGAGCCCCTATCTTATTGGATATCTAATAAGCCCACTGAATTATTAGATCTTATAGATAAGATTCAATAAGAGCCAATGAGAGATTATTATATAGATATCGACTAATTTGATATAAGACCTCTATAAATATGAGGGAACTAAAGAGCTATAAGACCTTTTTACTGTCATATCTTATTCTCCTCACCCCCTCTCCTCCTCATCCAGTAGCCCCTATTTGAGACGTATGGATAGTAAGAAGAGTCGACCCCTTATTGATCCTGTGTGTATGAAAAAATAATTTTTGTAGCGATTTTAAGAGTGTCTTCGTAGTCCTTACTATGTGAATTACTATTAGAGAAGACAATTGATTTTCTTTCTCCTTAGATCTATAGATTTTCAAAGATATATACAATCTTCCTAGGTATTCTCGTGATTCACTCATAAAAAGAAAATATAAATTATTTACTTCCTAAAAATCACATCACTCATTAGAAAATAAATCAAATAATAATTTAATTAATTGATAAAGTTACTTATTTGTTTAGATGATTATGGAAAAAATTAATTTTAATTATTTTCTTAATCATACTATATAAATACATAAGTTAATAATTTAAATAAAATAATATATTATTTATAGTAATTAATTTATATTAAGAAAGAAAATTATCGGTGATTACGGACCGACCTCTCATTATCCAAAAAAACATGCGGCATCAACGGGGGTTGAAAGGGAAACTTCTACTCGAGCGGGATCACATCGGAATCCAGCAGGAACGCAGGAGAAGATCAAGCCTCAGTACACACACCACGCTTCTCCCGGCGCATAAATCAGCTTACACGTAACCCCCAAACTAAAAGCAAAAGATAAAAGAAAGCTTCCCCGCTTCGTGTTCTCGTTGTCACGAATGGGCCAAACGCAACGCTGGAGGGCGCACGCCGAACGAGGATTACGTTCTGCTTCTCGCCCCCAAACACTGCAAGTCTCCGCTCCGCATCCGGCCGCGGTTCTCGATGTCACCATGCAGCCGGCGTGCTCCCCCGACACTGGGTTTTAGACGAGGCCCTGTTTTGAATCCCTCGTTGCATTAGTAGATTGCCAGTCTCGCAGTCTTTCAGAAAAGTAGGCTGGTAACTTAAAAGACTTTGCGAGCAACAGGAAAAGGACGATGAACTGGATTGGCAACGAGTCCACTAACCGCGTAGTGCCAAATGATGCTGAGACGGGCGTCAGGCTGAACTCGAACGGCGAGGTGTACGACGAGTTTGATTGTTAGCCTCTCCCTCTCTCTCTCTCTCTCTCTCTCTCTCTCTCTTCTCTCTCTCTCATCGCTGCATAGCTTCACGTGACGATCGCAACAAAATCATCAATTCTGCCATCAGCCTCTGTCCCTCTCAATTCAGTTCCATCCCCCCTCCCCTCTCTCTCTCTCTCTCTCTCCGTGTGTCGCGATGGATAGAGCGGAGGAGGTGGATTGGGTGTGGGTGGGGCGGCCGGGGGAGGCGGACGCGGCGGAGTGGCGGGCCGCCGCAGCCGCCGGGCTCCAGGACGAGGTGGAGCGACCGCTCAAGGTGGTGTTCACCTCGCCGGCGGCGCACTGGACCGACGCGGCTCCACTCGGCAACGGCCGCCTCGGCGCCATGGTGTGGGGTGGCGTCGCCTCCGAGACCATCCAACTTAACGGTAACCTGCCTCTCTCAAGCCTTTATCTTTTTCTTTTTCCGCAGGTTAACGAAGCTAATTAATCGAAAAGCAAAGAACGTGATGAACTTTATGTTCTTTTGGCTTCTGCGGTTCTCAGAATAATCTACGGTTTAAATATTGCTACACATTAAAAAATGAGTTTCTTTGTTTTTATTTGGTTGATCATAGAGCTGAAACCAGGGAGATGCGGATCTTTTGTGCAGATGATACGCTATGGACGGGCGTGCCCGGAGATTATACGAATCCAGATGCGCCTGCCGTGCTCGCTAAAGTTAGAAAACTGGTGGACAGTGGAGATTATGCAGCAGCTACAGCCGCTGCCTTTGGCTTATCTGGTCTCCACTCTGGTGTACGTTAATCGTTCTACCTTAGCATACTGATGGGGAATGCATTCTGTTTATTGGTCTTTACGTCTTCCCCTGCTTGTATGTTGGATTGTTGATGAACAAAAGTGGACAACTTTCTCCGGTAAGAATCATCTTAATTCTAAACAGAGATATCTACGGCTAATCAGACGTAGAAGATAAGCAGCAGAAAGTGTCCTCGGATCTGAGGATTAATTGCTCGTGTTGTGCTGTTAAACATGGTTGCAGTGGCCAGAATTAAGTTTTGCTGCCTGAGTGTCATGTGTGCTTGATGAGAAATAAAAAGATTTTGTTTTTGTCAATAATCCTCGCTCAATTTGTTCTTTTCGACTGCAGGTCTACCAGCCTCTCGGCGACATCAATCTAGTGTTTGGAGATTCAGATACTAGATATAGTGCTTATTATAGAGATATTGACTTGAAAACTGCGACAGTAAATGTCAAGTATACAATTGAAGATGTTGAATATACGAGGGAACACTTCTCTTCAAATCCTCACCAAGTAGTTGTCACGAAGTTTTCTGCAGATAAAGCAGGGATGCTTTCCTTTATAGTCTATTTAGACAGCAAATTACAACATCACTCCAGCGTAAGTGGGACAAGTCTGATAGTCATGGAAGGTAGTTGCCCTGGGCAAATAATCTCTAGTGGTGAAATTAAATCTGAGAAATCAAGTGGAATTAAGTTCTCGGCAATTCTTGATCTGCAGTGTGGCGGTGTTGGTAGTAAGGTACAGGTCCTAGATGAAGGGAAATTGAAAGTTGAAGGTGCAGATTGGGTTATTTTGCTTCTTGCAGCTTCTTCCTCATTTGAAGGACCGTTCACAAAGCCTTCAGATTCAAAGAAAGATCCTACATCGGCTGCCTTGAATACAATAAATTCCATTAGGAACATGTCTTACACTCAGCTATATGCCTATCATTTGGATGATTATCAAAGTCTTTTTAATCGTGTTACTTTGCAACTGTCAAAAGAATCTAAAAATGCACTTGAAGAAGAAAATTTTGTGGCTGTTCAGAAAGGTCATAAAACGCATTCGGATGCGCCCAAAGTAGAAAAAGGAAATTCATCAAGATTTGCTTCTTCAACCATTTCCACAGCAGAAAGAGTGAAATCTTTTAAAAATGATGAAGATCCTTCCTTGGTAGATCTTTTATTTCATTATGGTCGTTATTTGCTTATCTCTTGTTCGAGGCCTGGAACTCAGATTGCAAACTTACAAGGAATATGGAACAAGGATACTGAGCCAGCATGGGAGTATGTCTTGCTGTTGTCTTTGTGCTTATTTGTGCTATGTTTTACCTATCATCTGAACTTATGATATTTAGGGTACCATACAAAGTTCATTCTTACAAGTACTTCGATATGCTTGCACAAAAATAGAGTTATATGTCATAAGCTGTTGGCTCACTTTTGACTCTGTTAACATCCTCTTTTGCCATCGGAATCAACTTTCACCAAAGCTGACTTGACGAACTTGATAAACAATCGCACATCAGAAAATGCTGATGTAATTTGAAAATGCTGATGTCATAAGCTGTTTTCTTGTACCAGAGTAGAGTTAAAGTTAAAAGGCGAAGAAAAAGAACTAAACATCGTAGCTAACTTGCTAGATTGCTCATTGATAATACGTGCTGTCTAATTTGCACATCAGAAAATGCTGCATTTCTGATTTTTTACTGCCACTAGACTTAACTAAAGTTAAATTTACAGAATGCAAAAAATTATTTAATCCATCAGACCATTTTCTTTCACAGCTTCGGGAGTACATGGAAACAGATTAATAAAAGTCAAACAAATTGGTTAGAGTTGCACTCATGGTTTTTTGTTAACTTACCATTCAGCTGATTTTGTTTTTTGTAATTGTATGTCACATCTGTATTTACATAATTATTTGGTCATAATGTTGGTATCAATGAGCTATGGAACAATTTATAGTTTTTGTAACAAAGAAATTTACTGAATATTGATGTCTAATATATTGACATTGGCTTATGCATGTGCAAGTCAACTAGAGATGCTGTCCTGATTTGCTGTTCACCAACTTTGCTCCATGAATGATTAAAAAGCTTACTGTTGACTTTTTCCTTTTTTATTTCCTACAGTGGAGCTCCTCACTTGAACATCAATTTGCAAATGAATTACTGGCCATCTCTTCCTTGCAATCTTAGTGAGTGCCAAGAACCGCTGTTTGATTTTATAGCTTCTCTTGTTCGTAATGGGAGTAAAACAGCTAAAGTAAGATTTCTGGTCTTTCTTGATCATAAATTTGTACCTGATATGAAGCTGCATGGTTTGGTATTTTGAAAAGCAGCATTAGGTTGAACAATGAAATGTTTTTCTGGATAAACTTTCAGTGGTATATTTGGAGACACTACCTTACACTTGGAATGTCTGTAATGTATCTCACTTAAATGTCAAGATAACATTTGATTGATATGATCAGAATGATAATAATGTTTTACTTTGCTTAATTGATATATATATATATATATATATATATATATATATATGCTGTAGATTTTAAAATTTCAGCTGATATTGCTGGATCAGACATTGGCTTAAATAGCAAAGTATTTCTTGGATCAGAGAGATTTGAAACAAGGTCAATTTTCACAACTTTTCTGATTTGCCAATGAAGACATTGTATTAATTTCCCTTGCCTGAATTAACATGACTTGTCAAAATGCAACAGGAAAAATCATGAATGTTGATTAGATTACCAAGTGATATCAGAGTTTCTAGATTTTCCCTTTATAGCTACACTAACAAAAGAGTTTTGTTACCTGTGCTGCCTTTTCCCATCACCTCCCACCAGTAAGTTTGATTGTAGAACAGTAAAGCACGGTTCTCCTTGTGAAGCTCAGTTTAAAATCCAAGACTATCTGATCCTTGTGTTTCCCCTCTGAAAGCATCAGTCTCCTGATCATGCCTATTAGCATGTTCCTCTTTTGAGACTCAGCTGAGCAGGGATTGGTGCTATATATGATAATATGGCTTTTTGTGTAACAGACATTATTGAGATTACATGCTAACAATTGCATTGATGAATGTCTAGATTTTTATAAGAATTCTGAGTTCAGCAAATGTCTGAAATTATTGAATGTGTCATTTAACATTGGTCTGTACTATTAAATGATGATTGCTGTCATTTAAAGTTGAATAGTTCGCAAAACTTACTCTTAGTAGGATATTTATGATGTAAATAGTTTGCATTACTACTCATGGTATTTGGAAATCACTAAGCTGGTAACTAAGCATGAGACCAAAATTTGCAAGCATCACTTAATATTTGGCCCTTTTACTCCTGCCAAATCATCTGTTTTCTTGAACCAAAATTTATTTTTAATGTAATTACTTGTCAATTCTCAATCTGTCCAAACAGGTCAATTATGAAGCTAGTGGTTGGGTGGCTCATCAAGTCACTGACATATGGGCAAAAACATCACCTGATCGTGGCGATCCACTGTGGGCTCTCTGGCCGATGGGTGGGGCTTGGCTTTGTACACATCTATGGGAGCATTACAGCTTCTCAATGGATAAAGTAAATTTATAAAGAATTTAATTTTGTTATACTACTATTCTGTTTCCATGCTAGGTTACGGACATCTAACTGTTTTCTGAGTTTACTTCGCCAACCTAAACTAAAGTATGACAACTTGTGTCCTTCATTTTTCGAGTTATAATATTCCTCTTTATATTTCATGAATGCCTGAAATTTTTAGTTGACCAACATTGAATCCTCAATTTGTTTGAGTTGATATATATGCAGTAGCTATTTCCAGTAGTCATCATAAATTGAAGAAAAATAAATTCCATGATATTTTCTTACTCATTTGAAAAATCGAAAAGAGTGCCAAGATCTTACAGCATATTAGTCAGTATAGCCAACAAGGAAACAGTAGTATTTTGTTGTTTGACTTTGATTATTCACTGCTCTTCTGTTCACTGACTATTTCCATGTATTTTTAGGACTTTTTACAAAATACAGCATACCCTCTTCTGAAAGGATGTGCTTCCTTTCTATTGGACTGGCTGATCGAAGGCCGTGGAGGTTATTTGGAAACTAATCCTTCAACGTCTCCAGAGCATTCTTTTATAGCTCCAGATGGTAAGACTGCCAGTGTTAGCTATTCAACAACAATGGATATGGCCATCATAAAAGAAGTGTTTTCTGCGGTTATCTCTTCCGATAAGGTAATTATGACTTGAACCCTCTATGTCACCCGGAGATTTATGATCTATTGATGCCACTTTTGGTCTATCATGTGGATATCTTTTTTCTATTATCCTTTCAACAAGTAGTGATTTTCTTCCACCGTAATCACAGGTACTGGGGAATTCTGATAGTGAATTTGTCCAGCGGATCAACAAGGCACTTTCACGGCTACCCCCAACTAGAATTGCTAGAGATGGTTCAATCATGGAATGGGCAAGTAGAAGTCTAGTTTAATTGCTTTGCATTTGCATTGTGTTTCTTGCAATGATCTATTCTTGTGTTGCAAGTTTCATGCAGGTTTTGAGGTTCTACATGTTTTTGTGCCATTGCAGGCCCAAGATTTTGAAGATCCAGATGTCCACCATCGTCATGTCTCACACTTATTTGGTCTTTTCCCTGGCCATACAATAACAATTGGAAAAACACCTGATTTATGTAAAGCTGCTGCTAACAGCCTTTACAAGAGAGGTGAAAACAAATAGAACACCATGACAGTTTTCTGTTCAAATTTTGCCTGCCATATACAATGAACTATTTCTTAACTTGCGTATAGCTAATTAACAAAATTAAAATTTTTATCATCGTCACTAAAGGTCAGTATATGCTACTTGAAACAACATTATGAAAGTTATGGTTTCCAACTTCTCATGCTATGTTACCTAGATTAAGGAAATTAACATATCTTTTATGCAAAAATTGGACCATCTATAACCGATATTCACTTGTCTTTGATAGCACAAGGAACAAAATTTAGAAAGCATAATGAAAAATCGTGCGATACATATAAGTGTTGCAGGATGGATTTTTTAATTATAACATCATGATAGCATGCTTCATGATCATATTGCATCAGATACAATTTGACCATTCAAAAGCATAAGATTAGAAAGAATATTTTTTTTACATTGAGAAAAAAATATGTAAATTATGATGATCATTATAGGATATGACATGTCGACCTCAATTTCCATGGACTAAGCTTTGGTTAATTGTTTCAGGGGATGCTGGTCCAGGATGGTCAACTACATGGAAGATGGCTTTATGGGCTCGTCTTCACAACAGCGAGCATGCATACAGCATGATCAAGCAGTTGATTATCTTGGTTGATCCTGATCATGAGGCAAATTATGAAGGAGGATTGTACAGCAACTTGTTCACGGCACATCCTCCCTTCCAGATTGATGCAAATTTCGGGTATAAATGTTTATTATACTGTTAGATGTATAGTGTGTTAAGATTCCTAATTCTGGCAAGTTGTGATTTATTTTCACAAAGGAAGTTTCTTCTTTTTATTAACACCATACTTTAATTTATTATATTTTCAGCTTTGCAGCAGCAATTGCAGAAATGCTCATACAAAGCACCGATCATGACCTGTATTTACTCCCTGCACTCCCACGGGACAAGTGGCCTACAGGTTATGTAAGAGGATTGAAAGCACGAGGTAGTACGACTGTTAACATCCGCTGGAAAGAAGGGGAGCTCCATGAAACCTGGTTTTGGACTAGGAACAAAAATTCCATCAGAAGATTGCATTACGGGGGACATGTAACCACTGTCACTCTCTCTTGTGGCAACATTTATAGATTCAACAAGCATCTAAAATGCGTGAAGACATACCCCTTTGGGTAAGTGGCATTTCTCCGACCTCCGAGATTGGGTAACGATTACTATGGAGCAGTGGACCATACCAAATTTATCTTGCAGAGAGATTTTATTTTTCCCTCTAAGATGAGTAGCATTTTCTTTTTCATTTTTCTGCTTTGTCAAACCAGATAATGTTGTTGGTTGGCAATTTTTGGATACAACTGAGATTATCTGATTCACCATGATGCAGAAATAAATGTCATATTCACTAGATTGCTGACTAATTCTTGTAGGATTCTGACTGTATTTTAGCCAGTTAAATTCCATGTTATCTGAGTAGGATTCAGAATATTCTTGTCGGCCAAGCCTGCATGCATTGACCAAGTAGGGGCGGATGGGAAGCCATTTCAATGCTGACGATTTCTTTCCTTGTTTGATGCACAAACAACTTACAGCAGATTGATGGAGGGGAGAGTGAGAGATCTCCAGGGGTTTCGATCACTAATTTACCGTCACCGACATACATCGCTTGTGAATCCAATCTTTCCCCGACAACCAGCAGATTGGCTACGTCCTCCCAACTGTGCACAACGCAGGTGTCGTCCGTGCGTGGGCGAAGTCACCACCGACACCGAGGACTGAGGATTTTGGTTGTTCTACAAATCAGCACCACCTGTTCCTGAAATCACTCGTCTACGTTGTTTTTGTTGTTCTTGGATCGTATTTGGTAATTCAATTTCATCAACAAGACGAAAGCTTCAATTCCGCTTCGTGTAGGTTCAATGTAAGATATGAGAGCCGAGAGGAATTCACGAATCACGATGCATCGAACAAGCGTATCTACACGCGAAGCCTTCCAAATTGAAACCCAGCCCGATAGACTTCCAAAAAATAGGTGGAGGTCGAGGTGGCGACTTTAAAGTTCGCGTCGTCATCAGCATCACATCTTAACCGGACATCAAGCGCCCCCCTCCCTGGTCGCGCTCCCCCCGGCCTCCCTTCGCAACGTCGTCGGGCAAGGAATACTACTCCGCCCAAAAGCAAGTATTTTCTCTATCTTCGTCTCCTCCTCCTCGCCGTCGCGGTTTGGGATAAATGTGACGACTTGTTGAAATCTCTTACCCCGCGACGACGCATCTTGGTCTTCAAGGAGGAGGGAGGAGGAGAGAAGAGATCCAAATGGACGCCATCGGCGGCTGGGTCGGAGGGGGGGCGCCGCCGACGAGAGCGCTGGAGATCCTGCGTGAGACCGTGCGGATCCTTCGAGCTGATCCGTCCCCCTTCATGACCGCGCTCGCCCTCATCTGCCCCGTTTCCGCCGCTCTCCTCTCCGGCGCCCTCGTCCCTCTCGCCACCGCCGCCCTCCTCTCCCGCCGCCTCGACCTCCTCGCCGTAGCTAGCGGTCTCCCCCCCGCCCGTCCCCTCTTCCAGCTCTGCCGCCACTTCGTTGCCATCCTTCTCTCTGCCGCCGCCTGCTTCCCCCTCCTGGTCACCGCCCTCCTCCTTGCCCGCTCCTCCATTGCCTACTCCGTCGCCTGCTCGTACGCCGCAAGGAAGGTCCGCCGCGTCGAGTTCTTCGCCGCCGTGCGCCCGATCTGGCGCTGCATTCTCTTCACCTACCTCTGGATCTGCGCCGCCATCTCTGCCTGCGTCGTTCTGTTCCTCGCCCTTCTCCTGCTCGTCTGCAATCTGTGTGCTATATTGGGCTACCCGCCCGAAATCATCGTCTACCCGGCGCTACTTGTCGTGCTCGTCTTCTCGATTGTTTACGCTCACACCATCATCGTCTGCAACCTCGCGGGCGTGGTCTCCGTCTTAGAAGAGATCTCTGGCCTGCGCGCTTTCCTCAGGTCGGTCAGACTGATTAGGGGGAAGAGACAGGTGGGGCTACTGATGTTTCTTGGTTCGACGATTGGCATGGGTTTCGTGCAGGGGCTGTTCGAGCATAGAGTGAAGACGGTGAGCTACGGAGATGGTTCATCGCGGCTGTGGGAGGGGCCACTTCTCGTCTTCATGTATTCGTTTGTTGTACTAGTAGATTCAATGATGAGCGCAGTCTTCTATTTTACCTGTAGATCCTCTATCATCGAAGAAACGGATGAGGATGTCCATGAGCTCGAAGAAAAGGAGAATGTTTCTACTGAAGTGACCGATATCAAGTGAGCAGAATTGTCGAAAGAAAGCTTCTCAAACAATCACTTTGATTCAAATAATATGCAGTAAGGAGTCTTCGTTTTTGTCAGAGAAGAACCAGCAATGTATCCATCATTAAATCTGGCAAATCATGGAATTTGTTAGAAAGGTTTTGTTGTAGAAGTATGAGAATTGATGCCTGCAATTCGACCCGAAACTGCAACCTTTTGACATGGGATACTGTGCCTCCAAACTTTCAAGAGTCTCAATTCAACTCCTTTGTGTGGCATGTCAATCTCAAGTACATCAGTCACTGTTGTAAACATAGATTACTTTGTCTTGGAGAGGTGTCATCTGTTATTTATGCAAGTTCTTGTTAGAGCTTTTCTCATATATATTACTTTGCAGATGCAACATTATCAAAATGAGTTTTTGCATGTTGTTGATAAGCAATTTTCTGTGATCAAGTACAAAACTAAAGTTTTTTTGTGTGCTTCTAGATGTGGAAGATCCAATGTGACCAGATAGGTATCTTACTCCAGGCTAACATATGATGATTTGCTTACACAATACAGAAACTTTGGAATTATGGATCGTCGTGGCAATGATTTGGTTACGATCCATGTCTTGAGTTACACAATCCCCAACCATAGTCTGTCTGCTGTCAAAAAATTGATGATCAAGAATGAAAGGTATGTAACTTGATACACCTATGAATGCTTATTTTTGTACAAATTAAGATATGTGATGCTTTCTTTAGTTAGTTAAACTATTCATTATCTCATACCAACTTGAAGGTGTCTCATGTGTTTCAGGTTCTTGTTTAACAATCAAAAAGAACTTGCTCCGCTTTTTTGTGACTGTTGCTTTGTCATAAGGCACCAGCTTTCATACTATTTTATCATGCAACTAACCATTGCGATAGTTCTCCTGTTGTGCTTTGTATTGGAGAAATATCTACCACTAATCATAGTATATCGTAATAAGAGGTCAAGTTTTTAATGATACATATACATCTATTAAATTAATTAAAGATAAGTCAACTTCTGTTTTTTGTATGGTATCTTATGCTGAAAACAGTTCCATTATTTCATCAAAGTTTCCGATGTTTAAAATCCCACGTACTTCCATGATAAGACCATAGTGTATGTCATTCATGTTAGTAGATTTGTCCTCATTCTAATCATGATACATATTGGATGTGCAAGAGTGAGTTCACCCAGATACAACATGTTTTTGCTATGGAGTTAAGGATTGTGCAAATGAAATATTTTACATATATGTAGTTTGTGTATGATGACTCTAATATCTTAGATGGCATAAAAATTTTCTATGTCAACTTGTGGGTGTTTAAAAGGAATCCAGGAGAATGAGATAGATTTCATATGGGAGTTGAGGCAATCAACAGGTAAAATTTTTTGAGAAGTATAAAAAATGTTAAAAATACTAGTTTTTGGATAATGGTGACTGGACAAGTTAATACTTTATATGGTAGCACAGAAACGGTTCATTTTAGAATAGTAATTGAATCTGATCATGTTTAACATGCTAATCTTTTGTTATAGTCTCCTATCACTAATTATAAATAGGAAGCAAAAAGAGTTTAATGCTTTTAAAAGATTCATTGTTCCAGTTTCAAATTTGAAGATAAGGAAGAATGTGTATGGTTCACATAGAAGAGACAATAGAATATGGAGCTCCACCCCAAGTCCAAACTGCATAAATAGCACCACTGGATGAGGAGGCAACTCTGAAACTTTTAGATAACATTTCATTAAGCAAAAAGAATCAACAAGAGAAAAAGGATTTACTGATGTAACTCCATTGACATTGAATTATTTGTTAGGAAGGTAATCTTCTGCTTGAACAGATTTTGTAGCTTCAACCATGGTTTAGAAAACAGCTTGAAGCAAGTCTTAGGAATGTAAGCCTGTCAGCTTATAACATGATCGAGAGCCGCTAGTGTTCTGCTTAATATTCAACTTAGAATGAATTCCCTTATCCGTAAATAATTCAAACATAACCTAAACGTTGTTTGCTCATGTTTTGGCTTTATGGCAGTTGAAGCATGAACAAAGAGGAGGTAATTTTGTACAAGTTTGGTGATAGAATAATTGCTACATGAGCCTAAACCTCATCTAGCCTTGTTATGATCATAGTATCTACTCTCCGTAGGAATGATATGTCATATATAGATGATGCAGACAAATGCCTATTACCAGATTTAGGCTTGAACACATTATTTACAAGTCACCAACATCAATCACATGATCCGATGGTGGGCAGGGAGTCTCCAGGACTTTTGATTTTGGTCTCTAGTAGTTTAGAGACTCCATTACATTATTTGTACCCATTTAGCATATTCAGGGACAAACATATGGAACCTAAATGTTCAGATGCATAGAAAGATGTCAGACATCAAAAAAGTTGATCATTTACTAATTGCCTTACTAGTCTGCCGTGAAATGTCATGTAGAAGTGGACCAAGGTCTTCCATTCTGCGGTATAGTGGGTATACCACTTCCTACTTATCTTCTGCTAGATCAAGATGCAGAATGAGCCTTGGTTTTGGCCAGTGTCTACTTCACTAAATAGGTGGTTGGTTCTGCAACAAGTTTTGGAGCATGTTAATTAGTAATCAACCAACCACACAAGCGGCATCAATTCTTCAAATTTGATTTCCTGTCATTTCGGATCTATCAAACTAGACAATTAACTATTGGAGCCAAGGACAAAAGATCCTGCTGTCCCATGAACATCCAATATTCTCCTTGAGTTCATCTAATGCTTGAAGCATTTACATGATTTGGAGTAGTTAAATTTGCAGTTTTGGAGCAATTACCGTACCTGGAGAAAATACATCTCTTCTGAGTTTGCTCTTCGTACTTACCAAGGTAGATGATATGTTCTGAGATTGCTTGATGTATTTGACAATTTTGATCTACTGAATCCAATAACTATTTTGTCCTCAACTTGGAACTTGAATGATTCATTTCAGGTGTTCCTGGAGCATTTGCTGGAGTCAAGTGGCTTGCTACGATTCTAGGAACCATGCGAACCCCACCATCATTTCGAGCCACTTCCCACCATAACATGTACTTCCTATCTTATAATTGCAAGACCATAATGAGTCCTTGACATGCATGGTGGACTTGGTTATCAACCTGACCCAACTCACACTCTCTCTCCTGAACTGGTGATTCTGTTCTCTCCATCTTTGTTCAACTTGGTACAGTTCTCATATGCATTGAGGTGGTCATTGACTCCAGATCTAGAATCGACCCAAAGCGATATATCAGAATCATTCAAAGCTGTCTATGGTAATTAGTTTTATTTTTTATTTTTGTGAGTACTTGGAAATCGCAATCTCACTGTAACTATCGGAGAAGCTACAAACGTGGCAAACTAAATGAATACTGAATCAAGATGTTTGCTTCTTGCATATTATTTGTTTGTTATGACACTGCAGGCAAAACAGCGATGATAATGTGTTTGCTGCTTGACGACCACAGCAGTCAATATCGTCAAAAGCTTCAAAAGAGATGCCAATTTATTGCCACTGTCTATTAATAAAAGGTCCCTCCTTGAATATTGTCTCTTTGATTTTTCATTAGGAGTTATCCTTTGTTCATTTGCCACCACCTAAAGATCATCAGCAGAGAAGTCAGTTCGTCTCAGCACAAACTCATCTTTGATATCTAGTCTTGTATAACAAGGATCATGACTCAATTTATAGTAGTCTTTGAAAAAGCTGTATATATTTTGCCAGTGACGATATAACTTTCAGAAACTCATGTTAATAATCAAATTTTTGAGTACATCAACAATGTCAGTCTGAAAACTACTTCAGTTGAACTTAATGCCAACACAAAGCATCCGCAACAAGCCACACTTGGGCAAATGAATGAGTATAACAATGCAAGTGTAACCAGAGAGTTTAGCAAATCTGTCATCTGCTCTACCTCGATAACAAATGTGACCAGGTGATGCACATTCTATGCAATAGCCGCAAGTTCCAATACCAAAATACTTCCAAATTTGTAGTCTCCAGCCACTGCCGTTTCCATGTCAGATGGAGTTCCAGTCAATATGTCATAAGAAGAGCAATTGTTCAGCAGTTCCCAATTGCCATTTTTCGATCTTTTCTGACCGAATGAAGGAGATTAAAACATAACGTCCAGGCTGCATGCTGCATTATTGTGATTTCATGTATGATTGCAAGCTAGCAGATGGCGTGAACTTCAAATCATGTTCCATCTGACCATGTTCAGCACCGAGGGCAATGCTAGCCCAATTGGAAGATCGGTGCACAATCCTGGATGGAATCCGGTCACTGTCTTCGCCCCCAGATGCTTCATACCCATCACTGGTTGATCTTGATAATTGAATCCCCTTTGGTGCAACAGTGCCCGACACAGAATGAGAACTGAGACGCTGTACTTCCTCAGCTCCTGACAAAGAGATGCGAAATGGATGTAGATCAGGTGAACCCAAACTGCTATCAGGAGAAGAAGCAACAACTCTAGCTGATGACATTGGCATGTTAGGCCTAAAAGCACTCCTGGCTTCAAGCTGTAGAGGTGCTAAACTGGTGGATGTCTCAGGAACCAGGTCACCAACATTACTGTCAGTTGCACTATCAGAAATTTTTGCAAGAGGTTCAAGAGGAAGGTCCACTGGAATCCTCCCTATTTTGTTCATCTGCCTACGGTTATCAGGCCACAAGACCATTCTGCCACTACTACTGCCAATACTACCATCTGTGTCATGCCCAAGAAGAATTTCTCGTCTAACAATTGGCTGCAGGATTTTAGACTTCTTCTTTGCCTGTGCAGCAGCTTTTGAAACTTCTTCAGCATTAAGACGTGCAAGGGTCCACGGGCTAATTTTCACTTTTCCAGCATTTCTCTTCCTGACTGGTTCCTCTGCCATCATCTTCTTGCTTATGTGATTCATGGATGTGCCAGTCTCTGGGGGTACAACATCGAACTGGGAAAAGATGGAACCTCTTGTCAATGATCAACAAGTAACACAAACTAAAAAGGAACAGCATAAGCTCCTTTCTACCACTTGAAGAACTTCTTAAGTTTTAGAAAACCATGTTTGAATTCTAGACTATATTATTGTTGAGAGACTCTTTAGTTGGGATTTTATGATGTTTATCAAACCAAGCATCATTTGCCTTCTCATTTCCATTCTTAAAGGTAGCATGTAAACTAAAGAAAAGCTATTCTAACAGCCACAGAAGCTATGTTGCACATACTAATAATGTGTATTTATACAATATTGTTTCCTTACTGCAAGAGCCATTAGATCCACTGACGTAGATAAATTCTTCAAAATGTGGGCATAAATTGTGTTGCTTCTTAAATTAGCTGAATTGTAGATATATGCCTTCGGGATTGGCATTGCTTCTTGTAGCAAATCTTATCTTGTAGCAATTATCAATCAGGGAAATAATTATTTAAATGCATCCGGACTTCACAGTTCAAATAGGAGAAGATAATATTTCAGTTATCAAGAGACTAAGATTTAAGTTAATTAAGCTAAACCTGCATTAATGTAATAATTTTTTTCATATGAAATTTCATAATATGCAATTGCATGGAATCTACATTATATTGGAAGAAAGATAGCATGGTAAACAAGATTTGAAATACATCTCTGATGGGCCAGAAAAGTGAAAGAGAGAAACCAGGTTAAATAGATAAATCTGCTAAAATTGTTTGCCAAAAGGTTTTAAATACACTTTTGTGTCTTTCTTTCTTCATTTTAGTCATCTTTTCTGAATAAGAATTTTTTTATAAGAAATTTCATATAGTACCTGATCCTCCAGGAATAATCTTGGTGGAGTACACCATGCACCTCGGTGGAACGCATTGAAAGAACTGGCACTGCTTAGTCCAGTGAAAGAACTCACTTGGGACATCTGTGGACTTTGCGGTTCACCAATAGCATGTTGCTCCAGCTCCTGCTCCTGCTCCTGCTCCCTCAGAGCTATGATGTAATCATAAGTACTGATTCCCTGTGCCCACATCATTTGGAAATGTTAGCCATCATGAAGTGGTTCAAATTGATGATATTTCCAAGTCGTGGCTCATAAGTAAATCGGCGACACAATATCATCCAGCTAATTGTTATTCCTGTTTTGTTCCTCGATGGCAGAGTTATTATGTTCAAATTACAAGTTGTAAAAAAGTTAGTTGGATGCTGAAGCAAACATTATTGATAACTTACCAAGTGATTCACTATAAAAAGTGAAACTTGAAAAATGAGATGTTGAAATGTAAATTATGACAACATCAAAGTTTTTGTTCAAGTTGGCCATAAGGAAATCATACAGATAATGAGCTAAAATTTCAAGATTCTAACTGCATAGAAATTTAGCAACTTAAGGATGTTACTTTATTATAATAAGTGCAAAAAACATTTCTGATAACTTAAATCACTTTAGCAGGTGCATATAAGATTGATATCAGATCTTTCCTACCACCAAAAGGATATTCAACAGATATTTGTGAACTAGCTGATCTTGTGTTAAATCATAGTGCATTTATTCATTGCATGGTCAATAACTATAATATCCAAATAGCTCCATCTGTATTTTGAAAACATAGAACAAAAAGCACCCTTCAGCTAATTACAAAAAAAGTAGATGTCATATATAAGCATATAATTAGGAGCAAGGGCAAAAAAAAGGTATAGTGCTTTGTCCATACGTATGCATGTGGAACCATATTGCAAAATCTGGTCCAATAGAAGAAAGAGAATTAAGCAATCATTTACCTTTTTTATTAGAAGAATGTGGAAAAACAAAAGTTGTGCAAGTGGTAGAGTGGCAACCATAGCTAAGCAAGTACAGGAAGCCTGCAAATTTAGAATCACACTATTAGACAAGGCAAAGTCTAGGAGAGCCATGTTGTTAGCCATGTTTACTCAATTCATACTCCAAAAAACTATTGACTAGAGCAATTAAATGAATGGTATGGTCCAGAAAAAAAAAAGTTGTAGACTCACCACCACAACAACAAAGGGTACTAAAGAGAAGCTGCTTCCCAACTTTGATATGATTTCGGCAGAGAAATGCTTTCGTTCAAGGAAACAGAAAATCAGGACTAGGATCCCAATCAACCACTGCAGAATAAGCTGGCCCAAGGTGGACAAAGCATGGAGACCTGTCAATAGTCAATCAGAATGAACAGGACCCGACATAAAATGCATGCTACATATCAGGTCCATGGTGCAGTTTGTAGTGTTTTCTGAGGTGACACTAGACACACTGACAAGAGCATCTAATGTTCAGACAAATGGTAAAGCTCCTTACGAATACAAACACTGATTACTAGAAAAGGACTTGTGCTTACCAAGAGAAGAGCAGATGCCATGAGGATGAAGAACCTTCTATAGTTTTTTCTTCCTATACAGTTATTGATCCACTACAAGATCATGACAAGATATTTAATATTACACATCACTGTAAGAAGAGAAGAAAGAGTTTGAAGGTATGAAAAGCCTCACCCTGCAATGATGATCGAAGCCATCAACACATTTGTCACAAACTCTACAGTGCTTACTATTCTTTAACACCTGCGGAATGTATAGCCCAAAACCAAATGAACGAGGAGTCAAATTACCGGGAAGTACTTTTGATTATCATTGTCATGAAAGGGATGTGTGACTTCTCATGATGAAGTAATCGTTCATCCATCTCAAGGTCCTGATGTCAGCTTTGTATTTGTTGCTTTCTAGATAATTAACATTCCGTTTCATCAACCATGGCTGGTTACAGAATCATCTTAAAGCAACCTAATTTTCATGACGTTATTATGATATACCTTCTTAATCAATTATATGAAAAGAATCATTCTCATTCTTATCTTCAACTTTGCTTGTTAAATTGTTTAATTAAATATTGCTAACAACAGAGTGCGCAACTTATCATCAACAAGTATATAATTTCTTAATTGATGCACAATCCTAACAATGTAAGTGGAAAAAAGTGAAGAAAGATAATATAATTAAGCAGAAGGGATAAGAAAAGTTGATAACCATAGAGGTGAAAATTTTGGTCATGAAAAGCTCAGGCACAAGACAAAATGGCAGGTTTTGTCTTAACAGAATATCAAGTATTAAGTTATCCAGAAAATCCACCATTAGAACTTCAATTTGAATTATTTATGAGGGCATAGTTTACCACCAGCTATGGAATCCCTAAATTTGCAAAGGATGTAGCTGAAAGCGAAGAAAAAATTTGATACATAGACTGGACACTGAATGTCAGTACACATGCAACAATTAAGAATTCAAACATAAGTCTGAGTTTACTAAATGCTTTCATGTGTAAACCAGGAATGAGATGATGGGTCAGTATCAGTTCTCTGCAACACAGCATGCATAACTTCCTATCACCAACTCTGATAAACACAATCACTGGGGAAAATAAATACATGTTTGATGCCAACAACTATCGATTGAAGTAAGAGGCGAAGGCAGATTACAGTGTGGTGACAAGACCTGAATGCTTAAAGAATCATCGGATCCGAACATAGAGAATTAAAGTGTCCTTTATTCAATGATTTTCAACTTTATTTAGTATTTCAACGCACAAGAGATAAACAACAAACCAAATGAAATTGATCTTAGCAACTTTAGCAATATGACTAGTAAACTTATTTCAGGAGAATGTTCAAGGAAGAAGTATAATGCAAAAGGATGGAAAATGACATGATTTTGTATATTTTTGCATTTTTGACATACCTCAACTTCACATAAACTGCAGTAGAACATCCCTTCCTCATCCATTTGCTGTTCAGAAGATTGCTCATGTGATTGACACCAGTTACACATACAAGACATACCACACCAGCTCAAAAGAACAGCCAAGCAAGGTACACTGTTGCAAGGCAATCTCTCACTTTCATGTTTGGAATGTAATTCACCCCTGGTATAAACAGAATCTTTGCTCCCTTCAAATTGCTTTTGGGCTGTTGTTTCAACATTTAGTTGCTTTGTTGAACCTTCTTGCTTAGACTCTTTGGAAAGAATCTGTTCTCTGCAGCCCTCTACTTTAAGATTCTTCTTACATCTGAAAATACCAGGGTCACCAGGATCTGTTGCTGCACACCAGACATATAAGCAGAAGACACATGTAACCTGTCAAGAAACACCAAAAACGTCAGTATCTCTATGTGGTCAACTCTCTCTCTCTCTCTCTCTGTGCAATTTGATCTTGAAAAAATAAATCGTATGAAGTTTTATACATCTCGAGTCATGCATGGAATCATAAAAATTTTCGAATAGCATGGTTATCTACCAGATCAAAACTTATAAGAGACTAGACATATTAATTTCATATAAAAATCATTAAATAATTAACCACAGATTTTTTGTTAAAGAGCATTATACACCATGCATTTTCATGTTATGCAGGTAATATATAGTAGGCTCTGGAACAGTATTTAGTCAAGAAATTTCTGGCTTTCTAAAAAATATTGCACAAATTTTACATCATTGAACATATTCCAAAGTGGTTAAAGAAACAAAATCAACATGCAATGCTCAATCCTGTTAATAACAACAGAATCACGCAGCCCTGTTAAGTATGCAAAATGTAGGTGCCATGATGACCAGCCATCTCTTCAGGTTTACTCTGTTTACGATCTTGATGTCTTATGCCATTACTGTGTGCATCCTTTAGACTCCTCCAGAGATACTAGATACAGTACCTTCTTACCAAGTCCACTGGTGGCTAATGTTAATGCACTTTACAAGATGCTAGATTAAATTCCAAATGACCAAATGTCAAACAAAATAAGTTTCATAGCAAAGCAAGAATGAGAAAGTTGATGAGCCTAGCAACCTTCTAGATATCAATATCTACCTTACGCAACCCTCTTACTCGGTTTCCTCTTATTTTACAAGAACAAGCTGCAGAAAGGTACAATGCTGGCCAAAGAATCACTCATGCTTTCACTAATGACCCAATTCTTAAGCTCAAATTAATGGTTCCAGAATCAATCAAGGTTCCTGTACTGTTCAAATTGGATATACATGTAAGTTTAAGAGATTTAATTAGCTAGAGCATTTACATCTATCTATTTACTGGTTCTCCAAAGCTTTTTAACATTTCATGCCATGCATCAAGAATAACTCTTACACAAAGTGCATTTTGGACTAAGACAATACGCTATTGGTTTTTTTTTATCACTATTATAAAATCTATCTATGAGGAGCTAGTTACATAGGTTTTGTCCTGCAGTTCACCCCTATACAGTTGAGAATGCTAGAGCAAATTAATGAGAATTACAAGAAGTAAAGGAAGAAGAATCGTACTTTAGAGAACAATTTTGGGGAATGCCCACATTCGTTCCGGTCACGTATCATTCAACCTATGCGACATGAATGTATATTGCAGAGACCAAAAAACTGATGCACTTCAATGAACATAGAGGATGTTCAACAAATCCCCAATGAAAAGTAGACGAACATTGTACTAAAATCAATGGAACAATCCAATTTCTTGGTGGAGAAAAAGGACTGAAAGTCGCACAGAGATAGGTACAGAATTGTAGCATTCAAACAAAAGAAGATGAAAGCAAAGGTAGACACGGATTACAATGGTGTTACTAGAATGGCGTACCAGGGGAGTGTAAAGCCCCATCACCACATACTGAAACGGCTTTGTCGGAACAAATGGGACAAAGAACACATAGAAAGCAAACCCCAGCGCCAGAAACACAGCTATCGCCACCACCTACAGTCACAAAAGCACGTCAACCGCAACGGATTCCGTCGAGGCAAAGGAAAGAGAAGGAGAAAAAGGACAGCAAATAGAACATGCCTGAAGAGGATGATAAGGAAGTTGCCACCCATGCTTCCTCATTTCCCAGCTCCTGGTTGTAAGGCGTGGTGCCGAGCAGCGATTGTTGAAGATTTTGTCTTGGAGAAACCAGAATCCACGCAAGAAAAATGGGCAAGATGTGTTCTTTCCCACTAAATCTCTTTTCTCTGTGAAAAGCAAATGGATGTGGCAACAGCTGCGGCTGCTGGGAGGTGGAGGAGGAGGGAAGGGGGAAGGAGGAGTGTCGCTTCAGGAACCATACATCCAGTGAGGCTCGGACGTCTGGGGAAAAGCAATGAGCAGTTGGGTTTCTCTTGTCCTGTGAACCTTTCTTCCCGATGGACGAAAGATCTGGTTGGTGTGCCTGAGGTAAAATAGCATCAAGATTGAGATGATCGCTGGCTTGGGATTGTGCTTCTTTTACCCTTGCAAAACCATATAATTACCTGAAACACATGCCCTTCTCCTCAGGCAAGAGGTGGGGCTTGAGGTGAGAACAGATGTTGGGAGGATAGTGTGGTGTGGTTCCCTGTTGACCTAAGCCCCCCTTCAACAATCTCTCTCTCTCTCTCTCTCTCTCTCACGCGAACACACGCACAAGTTCTTGGGCAGCTGTGCTGCTTTGGTCAAAGAAGATGGACAGAGCTGTCATCTCATTTTGTATAAATATGAATTGGATCCTGATGGGTCGAGGAGCACTAGTCCCTACGTATCCGCATGTCACCATGCTTTTGGCTTAGCAAAGAAGCCAAATCCACCATTAGCAAACCTCTGGAAAAGGTTTAAGCACCTAAAAGAAGCTGATGTGAGTCCAAGCTTCAGCCAGACTGGTCCTATTTTGCCCATCTTTTCCATGTAGATAGCACCAAAAAGCCTGTAATTGTGGAAGACTTGCTGCTGGTCATGGTCCCCTTGTGTTTGTCCTGGTACCAAATGGCATATTGGAGTTAGTATTGGGTTATTCTTCAATCATTTGAGAACAAATACTACAGGGATGACTTTGTATCCCTGCGACTGCAAATGCCTATTCATAGACATGACTCCTCTGCCAATCATGTCCCCCTTAAAATAGTGGAAAATTGCGAGGGATTTAGATTTGTTTCTGCGTGCGAGGCTCTACATGCATCCAGCCATGCTGCAAGTTGAATCCTGGAATCTCTATATCTGAGTTCTGAGATTAGCAGAGAGATGCATTCTTTGAGAATGTGTTGCTGGAAAGAGTACAGAGAGAGGGGTTATGGCCTTGTCTTGGAGGAGAAAAGAACATAAGGGTGAGTCTTATTCCATTCTTGGCTGTTTAGGCCTCGGTGAGCTGTGATTCTTGGACTCTTCTTGTCAGTTCTTAAAACGCATCTGATGAGTTGAGCACTACAGAAGCAAGGATACCTGTGTCTGAATTCCCTCTGTCTTCTACTGCTATCTGACAAAGCTGACTTCCCCACATTAATGGCATTTGGTGATCCATTTCTGACAAGTGTGTGGTAAATACATGAAGAAAAACTGGCCAGAAAGAAGACAGACACATCTCAAGAACTTGTGCAATGACCAAGGAAAAGCCTTCTGCTGAACTTGAGGATATTATGCTGATCTTTCCTTGGTGGGGGCAAGAATGTGTAGTGGTGAGAACTAGATGATGATGTATCTTAAATACAAAATTAGAGATTTGGGTCTATCTCATTCATCCTAAAACTGGAGAAGGTCTCATGTATGAACCACTCAAAACAAGACAGAATTGGTACTCTGATTGGAGTGGGCCAACACTGATGGTCAACATTTGTGCACTCAGAGGACAGACATGGCTGCAGGTTGACCAGATCCAAAATCATTAATTGCTGCACTTATGCATCACATAGACAACTTCTATGTCAGGCACTCCACATAATTCTTTGTCCAAGTTGCTCTGTTAAAGGACCCCCCCCTTTTCTTGAGCTTATTTTAGGCCTCCACTTTCATGTAAGTAAAGAAAAAAAGAGCATAGAAGTATGCTACAGCCTGATGGAGATTACCTTCATTTTCTTTGTCCACTCTAACTTTACTGAAATCACCAGTATTTCTTTTCCCTCTTCATTTCATTAAACACTTCAGTCACAGAAAATTTAGATGTGCTGTACCTTTTGCTTCTGTAAATATTTTTTAGAGGTTGGAAGTTTACTTCTACAGCTTCTTCAGGAGATAGAAGGAGAGGAAGAAACTTTAGCATCCAAAACTCTCGAGGATAATATTTTTTTACTTTAATTATTTGATCAATGACGATGAAAGATTTATGTAATCGATTTCAAATAATTAAAACTTACGATTCTATTATTATTATTGTTGTTGTTGTTGTTGTTGCTATATTTGATCACTGCCATCATTCCATCTAAAGGCTCAAGTCTTGAGAGGAGATTCTGTATGATTTGACAGCCTTAACACTGAATTGCTCATCAGTCTTCTGCATAGGCTTTAAGATCTTACTGGCCGACAACAACAACATACTTAGTAGTGTTCTTCTTTTATTGTTTCGAAGAAGAAATGGCAGCTGAAGTTGGACAGTAGTAGTCTGGAGGAGCTCAAGCCATGTGATGCTAAGTAGAACAGGTCGTATGGTTTCTCGAGTCCAACCCCTACTTTTTCACGTGAACAGTGTAAAAAGTCCAAACTATTAAAAGACTCTCATCTTCCGATCTTTTGTTATTGTTATACTATTGCTATTATATTGTTGCATGAAATTTTTGTTGTGAGTTTAATGCTATCTGTATTGGATATCATCTATATACATCACATGACACACCAAACTTACCTATAATAATATATGAAATCTTGTTATTTCACTGGTTTTCTGGAACAGCATATTTGATTGTTTTTGTCTTTTGATGTAGCGTCCTATTTCACAGAGATATCTGTGTCCTGACAACCAAATCACCAATTGCTCGACAAATTGTAGTGGATGATTGTTTCTTATCCAAATCTCATACTTGTCGATGCTGCAGATGTCCCAACAACAACTGGTGGCAAGCTCATGGAGAAACAAAGATGCAAAGATGGATGAGCAGGAAAAAGAAGGATGCAAAGATCCCACCACCCAATCATGTCAGTTACCTCAGTGGTATGCTAGTTGTTGTATGGCCATTGCCAACTAGCTCACAAAGACAACAGCTGGGTGAAAGTGAATGATGAACCTGTGAACCATTGAATCATCTCATCCAGAAAAAGGAGAACAACCCTCAATTGATGGAAGAAAAGAAAAGGCAAAAAGCTTGGGTTAGCACACCATGTGAGAGAAAGCATGGTTTCTCCATTCATGTTGAACAATTTTGCTCATGCTTATTTGGTCTCATCAAAATCTAAGTAGCATTAGTCTCATTGTTACAATGAAAAGAATATGATTAAAACAGGTCTAATTGGTCTGCTTTATTAGCCAAAACAATAGCTACAGAGTGTGGAAGCCATTACTGAATCATGTACTCTTGTATTTCACACAGAAGAGAACAATACACACTTTGTTGTTCATGGTGATGTATATGCAAACAAATTTTATTAAAAACCTTTTTGGGAGCTAAAATGAATACAGAGATTGAATAATATCACCAAGGACATTACCAGATAATGTAGGAGGATGGCCTTCTAATTAACAGCCCCGCCAAGTGAAGACCCTTCCACATCTGATAAGTCTGAGATTACTGCTGGCTTGTTGGTGTATTATCCATCAGTAAATCCACTTAATACAGTATACTGTCGCATGAGCTTCGGTTCAGATCTTGAAGCAAATTCCAATAAACTAAGTGATCTCATGTTCTTCTTTAAGCTGCAAAACTGCAACTGGTCGCTGATCGTTATTTCTGAAGTTGGTGGTCCTAAAGAAGCCTTGGTTATTAGATTGCACAGTGCTGGAAGCGGCACCAGCTCCTGCCATGTTATGACTGCTGTTCCTAGCAAAGGGCACATCATGATTATGTTTCCCCTCGTATGTTGTTACGACTGCTTTGGGGTCTGTTGCAGCTCTTTCAATATGCTTCCTGACATTGCATCCGTGATAAGTGCATTTGTAATAGCTCCTGCACATTGAGATGAGATATATCAAGTTCTGCATGGCATATGCTATAAAATACATTTAACCAAAGATGTAAGATTAAAAGTGAACAAGAACTTTAGATAAATTTCACAACATTAGGATCTTACGATAAAAATGAACATCATGATGACAACGCTTGAGCAAGCACAAAACACGCATGTATATAAGTTTAGTCAAGAGATCACAATTCTAGGACCGGTGATTTTGATTTTCTAAAACCAGGAACCAAAATCAAATTGGCAAGGGTCGGTTTTGGAATTGGAACCAGCGGTTCTGATTACGGTTCTAGTTCGAACCATCATTTTTTTTATTTTTATTTTTAAATAATAATATTTTTAAATAAAAAATATTAAAATTATGAAAATGGTGGTTTGACCCGAAACCAAAACCGATGGTTCCAGTTTTCCAAACCTAGGATCCGAAACTGAACCACCCAGGATAATTCCAGTTCAATTTAGAACCGACGAACCGTAAGGTCGGTTCAGTTTCGATTCGAACCGATCCATGGTCCGGCCTATACAGTTTTTTTTATCATGATAGTGTAGTTTCTTGAATATGAAGCCAGATTTTTCAATTCAATCAAACTCACTTGTGTTAGGTCTTAGTTTGCCAGTTTCTCACTAGGAAAATTCTATCTGCATATTTATTGAAGTACCATTATTAACTCATTTTTATCAAATAAAAAAGTAAATATTGACTTTGGCACTTCCGTCAGGTTCATGCTGATTCTTCAATCGACCATCATTTAGGATTTAGTGTATGTTTATTGGGTTTTAAGATGCAAATGTGTTTCTTAGAAGGAAGATCAACACCATTTAGCTTGTTGAACATTCAAAATTCTGTAGCCAAATAAAATTCTAGATGAGAGGAAATCCTCAAGTTGGTGCCAAAGTGCTATATTATTTTTCACCAAAAATTTAAAAAAAAGAGTATTATGTCATAAAGACAAGTCACTTGGTCAAAAAAAGTAAAAAAGTCAAAACGAATAAGCCACTTTGGATCGAAATAATTTTAACTAAAGGCAAATTACCCTCTGTCAGTGACCCAGAATAGTCTGAAAATGGGTTTAATAGTCTGGATTACGACCAGAGCACTATATACTTAGTTCAATTTAGCTCAAAAGCGAAATATGGCAAGTTTACACAACATCTACCCCAGAATAGTTTATGAACAATGAGAAATTACAGCTTCACAGATACTATTTGTTGCAGTTTGCACAATAGCAGGTTCATGATATTATATCTCGGTTGATCAAGAACGACAATAGCAGCACAGTAAATTGTGACTTGTCAAGTCTTTAGTCTCATACCGAGTATTTATTGTCATGTTTATGATTTATGTCATTACCATCCATGAAGAAAAGCATATTGAAGTGCCTAATTCATTGAGAAGGCAAAATGGAGATAAAAATGACATATTGATAAAGAATAACTTAAAAAGGAAATGTAGAAGTTCTAAAGAAACCTTGAAATCATAAAAAGATGTACATCTGTATTGTAATATCACTCGATAGTGGAATGGTAAAATTGAAGTCCAGTAAGTACCTGGCATGGGATGGCATGGGAGTGTGTGAACAAGATAATGATCGGATGTGAACCCTAGGTCCTACGTCCAGTATGCACCATGTTTTACAGAGTAAATGAAGCAATCCACTATAGGAAAAATACTTGAGGACATAGGCTAGACTGTGATAGAATAGTATCAGAAGAATCGGCCGTAATGACATGATAATTGTGTAGTCTATGCATCCAGGTCTATCATATACAAATAGAATCCTGGTACAGTGGATATAGGACATTGTCTTATTGCTACATTGATGAAAATGACAGTAGTAGGGTGGATTTTTTTATTGTGAGATCCTTGGCCTTAATAATATAGTGCTTTTTCTCTCTTTAATAAATACCTCATGTGCATAAATCACTATACAAAGGTTTGTCATGCCAATTGGCACATGTTGAAACATACCATGATCAAAAGGTCAGCGGACTCCATATATACCCATGCCAAAGGCACCGATATATAGCTAGGCCAACTATCCGCTTGTGCCTGCTAGCACAAGAGTGTATTGACCAGCATTATGCAATTGTACCATGATGCAATCTTTCCCATGGCGTGCCACAAGGTGCCATGAATTTGCAATTCAACACTAATAACAATATGCAGTGCACATTTTCATGAATTTTGAATAGGAGGATAAAATCTCAAATGTCAAGAAAGAAGGCTTTAATCAGAATATGCCATACAAACAACTGCAACTTTGTCAAAGAAAAATAGTAGAAAATTGTTAGACTAGGTCCTACCTTGGATTGGGATTTCCTTTCACAACTTTCTGCCCATACTTGCGCCACCTATAACCATCATCCAAAAGATCAACCTCGCTTGTTGTCTGCACAACGACCTTAGGTTCTGTTGATGTTGTTTGTGAAGAAACTGACACATTCCTATCAAACAGCAGAAATTTTCTCGTGAAATAAAAAAATTTATAAGAATGATAATTTTAATATATTCTTACTGCTTACATTCTTTTGGCATCAGCATCGTGACCATCCCTTCCATCTTTCTGAATTTCAGATGCTTCTTCCCTATCACATGAACCAAATAATTGTTGAGGTGCACTGTAGTCAGATTCTCTATCTCTTTTGGAAGATGAAGTAGCAACAGTCATGCCACTTGATCTCCTGAGATTCCCAAGATGACCATGAGAAGCTGATTCAGATGTAGTAGGATTGTTGACACTTTCAGTAATCTCATTTGACCCACTGTGAAAAATACCATCTTCCTTGGATCGCTTATTTAGTACAGGACGTGTATGATTATGCTGACCCTTATAAATTATCTCAGTTATTTGGCCATCTAAAGAATGTTCTACCTTTTTCTTGACTGGACAATTTGAATGACTGCATTTGTAGTAGCTCCGAGGATATTCACTGCCTTTTACCATTTTCTGGCCATATTTTCGCCAATTATAGCCATCATCTGCAGGTTTATCAACTGTTATGGCCATAGGCTGAGATATTTGATCAGAATGAGGGACTCCAGCAGATTCATATGCAGTACTGTTTGGCTTTAGAGTAGAAATCTCCTGGATTGGATGTTGTGATGATGAAGTTGCCACAAATGTGGATGGGTATTCCGCCTGACTCAGCATGCAGTACTGAGAATGGGATGGCTGGGCTGTGACTTGAGCTAGAGCCTCTTGATGAGACACTCCAAAGGTACCCTGTCAATATCCAATTTGGATGTGATGAAACCAATAATAGGAGATGTTATGGACCATGGAGTTCTATATAACCAAACTCTGACAGAAGAGCAAATGCACCATGATATTTGACTAAGACCTCATTTCTAGGGACAACCCTGAGGTGACTTGCACTTGACTAGAATGGAAAGACAATATGTAAATAGTTTAGTACAAAGAGTAATCTCTTTATTCTCTAAAGCAAGACAGTTTATTGGGGAGTACACTGATTTGTGGGCTGGTAGGTGCATGACTGAAAAGACTGCAAGAGAGAGAGAAAGTTCTCTTAACCTATATAAACTAACTCCACAATCTAATAAGAAAATCGTCGTTGGTTAGGGTGTGACACACCAGTGTTTCCCATATCGAATATGGGAGTAGAATTGAATTAGTTTATAAGACTAAGATAAATCTATCATATTAACTTGGAACCATTGGTTCAATCTATCAAGTCAATGCTGACCTAAAATTTGATAGTGTCTAGAGAAACATTATCCATGTATAGGACTAGAGGCATATCATGTCGTGAAGTTGAGTTAGACCACACGTGCATCCACTGATATTAATCTAGGTCTACGTATTTTGGATAGGACTAGAGGCATATCATGTCGTGAAGTTGGGTTAGACCACACGTGCATCCACTGATATCAGTCCGGGTTGACGTATTTTAGATCAGTGATGTAGGTCTATCAAGTTAATGTGTCAGTTATCTCATTGGATCAGATCTTCACATAGGGTACAACAAAAATCAGTTATAATTAAAACTGAAACACATAATAAAATTTACTAATGGAGGTTTAAAACGAGTTAAAAATGAAGCCATGAAGATTTTTAGCTTAAACTAGAACTTCACAATAAGTCAAACTTCACTCTTGAAACTTTTCAAAGCATGAAATATGAGTCCCAATTTAGTCAAGGTCAATCATGTTTCTTGCTACTAGTTGTCACCCCTACTACATCATGCTCGATCATGCCAATACCCAGCACAGGAATCAGGGTTGAATTCCATTCTGTCAAATACATTAAAGTATCTTATTCACAAATCCTCGACACTATTTTCAACCCATAGTCGGTATGTTCGGTAAGCAGAGCAGTTTTAAGACCAACTTGAAATAGTCTGATATTGACAATAATTTAACTTGATAGGAAACAGGATCTAGTGACTTGCTATTTGTGTTTCACCACAGATTCTTTGTCAAAGTAAATAAAATCTAATCCATTTGGTCTGCTGCAAAAATAGAAATATTTCTTATTTGGTAACAAGATCCCTTGTCTCGAGAGATACCGAAAGGTGTAATCTTACAACAAGCAACACAACATCAACGCATCAAGCTTGTTAACTCAAACGCCAAATCAAATAAAAATATCATTTCCATCAGCCAAAAATTTATTCCTCCTTCCCAGGATAATTATTGCTATCATTGAAAGAGCAGCAAGAACAAAAATCAAGTTCAAATTGCTACGAAATCAGAAATTAAGATCGAAATTTATGAACCCATACCAGGCCGGACGAGAAGAACCCGGGAGAATCCAGCAAGCTCGCGGGGCTTAATCCTGGAGGAATCGCGAACGCCTGCGTCTGGCTCACTGCCAGGCTCGCCGGCCGGTTCTGCCCCAACCGAACCAATCCACTTCCGCCGCCTCCGTCACTACCTCCGCTTCCTCTCTCCGTCCCGCCGTCTTCCGAGCCACTCTCCATCACCTTCTCCTTCTCTTCGGTGATCCCCGCCGGCCTCCTCGCCGCCGACGCCGGAGAATTCATAGCTCCGACGAGCAGCTGAGTGAAGGAGCGGCACTCGGACTCGGGATCGTCCGCGAAGAAGCTCGACACCAGCGTCAACGGGCCGGGGCTGACCTCCGGGATGCCGCCGCCGCCATGGAAGAGGCTCTCCAGTGCAGAGCGGGGTGGAAGCGTTATGGTGGGCCGCGGCGGCTTCCCTGCTCCAGCCGCAGCAGACTTCCCCTCTCCTCCACCTGCCCCTCCGCCCGCGCCGCTCTCCGCCATCCGCCTACCGAAACCAACCTCTCCCGTCCTCCTACGGCGTTCGATTCCCGGCAGAAAGGGAGCTTAATCTAATTCCTTGACTTCTTATTCTCCTCCTTTTACTTGCGAATTTTTCTCTCTTTATTTTGGCTTCTTTTTCTTACATTTTGAGAAGAAAACACGCGACACGCATTGAAGGATATAAACTCCCTCCAAATTTGAAGAAAAAAGGAACGTTGACTTTTCGGATGGTTCGATCGGCGCTTGCCAAGAGATATAATACCGCATCTAATGACTAAATTGTCCCCGTCTCTCCTCGACATTCCCAGTCCAGCCTACATCGTGTGGATTCACAATGGACCACGTCCGGCAATTCTAGGGTTCGAGGTGCGACCGAAGTCGACCCCGTACAATAATTAAGTGGCTCAAGCTTCACCAAATTGTACCAACTGGGACCCAAATCGACAAGAACGACTCTCCTAAGTACTTGAATCGATCCGAAACCTGACTCATATACTTGTGATTTCATCATGAAATCTCGTGCCTTGGTGACGTGGTTGTTTTCGGTCCAATTAGGGCAAGTTGGGTCAACTGCGAGACTTTGCCATGTATGGGGGCGGAGTTAGTATTGCAGCTCATCAACCAATGCGGAGTACGCTACTAACTCACCTAACCAGTAATAGCATCCGATGACTTGCGGCGATGAGAGTCTTCGCATTTCGCTCATCGTCTGCTTTCTTCCCGACCGACCGCTTTAAATTGAGTGCTTCCTGTCGTCGCTTTGTCAACGGAGGTAGATACACTTCACCTGCTCACACACGAAAATAAATGCACAACGCCACCACCTTGAAGTGAGATGATGGGCTTTCTTTTTTATCTGGTTGAGGACTGAGGCTGCATCCAGATCTGTCTTTACCACTGTCGTGCTCATATAGCTTGGGGATGAGGCTTTTTGTGGTCACAACCGTCGGTGTCAATCGTTCATTTTAAATGAATATAATGACAATGTGAAAAATGCATGCCCAAGATCAATTTAAGTTAGTGGTCCAGAAATAAATACATTGACCCCTCGAAAATTTAGTGTTGCCGGAAGTCTCGTGTACTGGGTCTAACAACAAGTGCAACATGATGCTCGAGTGCTTGCGAGGGAGAAAAGAGTTGCAGATCAATCTGTCATAAGACATAGGCAAACACCCTAGGGGGTCAAAGCAAATACATATCATGATGTTTGAGGTTTAATACCGATGGTGAAAGCCCAAATGGCATGACATGTTTCATAATTAGAAGTCCTAATGACTCGCCTTGTCGACAAGTACCTTGCTTGAACACCACACAAGCTCCAAAGGGGATAAGGAGCGGAGAGGGTCGCAGACATCATGCATATCCCAGTTTTGATGAACATTTTAACCTGCATTTAGGAAGCAAAATCTCAAAATTAGTACAGCCAAGAGCAAATGGATCACATGCGCATTATACCTGTGTCAATTGCCACAGATGATTGATAAAGCTCAATGATCAGATTGTTCTAAGCAATTAGTTTGTCATTCAAGTTACCAATAATTAAACCATAGTTTTTTTTTTTTTAGGTTCGGAATGGCAGTTCATCACACAAATGTTTCATTGTACTGCAGAGAAATAAGGGGGTACCAGATGGATGAGGCATTCATGATAGCATATCATTGGTTTTCCTTGTATGGCAGTTCACAAGCAGCCAACGGGTTCTTCAACTTCACTTTCCCCAGCATTTCTGCTACAGTTCTGCAACGACATTGATTGCCTGGTCGAATAACATCCCCATAGGCAGCCATCTCGATGATATCGAGCTCCTTGTCTGCAAGATATATTTCATGTGCTAAGTTAAAAACCACCAACATAAGAGCATATCAGGATTCAAGGGCTGAATGCAACAAATTGTTCGATATCATCCACCATGAGGAACTAACTGCTAAGACAAGTGTAATCACTACAATGATAAGCTGTAGCAACAATGATGACAATAAACTCTATAGGTCACCTTAGGCATGATGTAATCACTAAGACAACTCTCATCAATTGTGAGCCATGTTGGTTCTCAGGTTACTGTTACTCATACAAAAGAATAAATTAAATACTAAATGCAGTAGAAAATGTTGTTGAGGTAGAAACCCTACTGTTTCCTATGTTGCTTCAATTTGGTAGATATTTTATTTCCTGAAAAGTATATAAATTGGAAAAGCCACAATGGATTGCTGATTCCTATTTTTGGCCTCATAATATTTGTAACAGGAATAAAAAAAATGCTATATTATTTTTATTTGCAACAAGTAATAGAAATCACTACAGCATGGACGAATATTTCCATTGTCATCAACATTCCTTCTGGTCTAATGTCTTTCATAAATTAAATTAAAATACTAGGGTACTGAAGAAAATCACAGAAGTTTCAGAGCCATAATTCTACTACGTGTACAATAGTTCATGGTGTAACACATTCGCACATCAGATACAGAAGCCTAACTCCATCTCATCTGTATATGAGATCTAAAAGAGGCAACTGGAGACAAAAGACTTTTGACTTGGGGTGAAAGCCACCACATTGAATCATACTTCTATTTAGTGAAAGTCTCCCTAATCCTCATCTCCAATGGATGTAGACCTATCCACTGAACTTACATGTATCTGTGTTATGTGCAGTTTCTCTACTTCCCATCCTCTCATTCCATTTATTATCTAGGGAGACCTGATCTTGTTACCATGCCAAAAAGAAAATCTAATTCTCTCCTTGAGTCTAAAACTAATCTTCTTACAAAAAAAAAAAGTGAAACCCACATATAAAAACGAAAGTAGTGGTTGTACATGCCCAGCCTTTTAGGCAGCTGATAACCTAAACTATCAGACCTGGCAGAGATAGCTCTTAAAAATAGCTCCTGATAAACCAATAATGGGATATCCTAAGCTGTTCATGCTGAACTGCTCTAAGCTTTTTATGACACAGGCTAACAGCTCATTTGGGATACTTGCAGTCAATTAGAAAATGTCTGTATTGTTGATATATATAATGTACATACAATAAGTTCCTACTCATCATGTTTTTGCACAGGGTAAGTGATGAAAACAGGATTCAAGCCCAGGACCTTACAATAAACTGTCAAATCTTTATCTACTAAGCTAACTGGCATCTTCCCTAGTTATCATATTATTAAACTTAAATACATGCATGTTTGTATTCTTGGACTTTATGATGGCCATGGTCAGTGAAGAAATGCAAGCTCTTCAGATGGCTTGGAGTCTTTGACACCAAGGTAATGTTTGAAGCAACTTTACTTTAGCACAAAAGTTCACCCTTATTATCTTTTGTTGATATTAAACTCTGAAACTCAAGAATCAGTCACTATCAACAATGTCACCCTCCTAGCCCAACATTCCTCTTTCATGATGACGCCTTCTCCAAGACAATACCATCAGTTCAGCTTTCACGTATCAATTACCTTTATTGGGAGTGAGTACATGCAACATAAGTCATGAAAATCCAAATATTTGACATTATGATTCAAAGCCTCATAAAAGCTCAACAGGCACAAACACCTATATTTCCCCTTGCAGCCTTTGGCCATGTTCCATCTTTGATCTCTTCAAGTTACCTTTCATGCCCAACACATTATGAGAATGTGAAGGTTACCTATGGATACATCAATGGCAACCACAAAGGTCATGATCACTCTTCCAATCCTTGGGTGACATGATTACAAAATTTCTCCATCGAATTCATTAACTAAGAAAATTTAATCTATGCTAAGCCATAATTTGACCAATAAATATCCAGACTCACAAAGTAAAGCAAGTTTCAATGTTTGACACCACCTATAACTGTGAGCTTCATAATGAATATCCAAAATTGTACTGTGTATATACCAAGACATCCATAATCTTTTCAACAAAAATTTTCTGAGATGGTTTTCTCTAAGAGCAATACATAAACGGGTTTATCACTGGTTGCAGTTCTCAATTGTAAAAAAAAGAAATGAGATTTGTCCATGGGAGCAGTCTAGGACCCAAAACTATAGTTTATTTTTTATATAAAAGTTAACTATTAGAAAATAACAAGGAAAAGGCCCTAAGAAAGCTTCATTTGACATAGAATATTACTTCCATGCAACATAGAATACATGTAATCTTGTAGCATGAGAAATTTATGCTAGTGGGAAAACCATATTAAATGAGATTGGTATATTAAACTTAAGCATAAAGTTATTCTCGGAAATGGACAACTTGGGTATATATGTAATACAAATGTTTTTGCCTGACTTTAGATTGATATAAGCAATGACTTTGATGTGCTATCTTATTACACTCATCTTACACAAAAATGAATTTTATGTGTTATCATCTTACACTCATCTTAACAAAAGTCATATAATGATAAATCCACAATGATGTACTTCAATAAATTCTTGTTACAAAAGCTTATCTTTTTGAGTTTGATTAGCACATGAAATTAGTGGATTCCACCATCATCTACGACTTAAAAGAAATGAACGCTGTGCAAACTATACAAACTCAAAATGACTAGGACACTCAAAATGACTCTTCAAATCGAAGTTCTTTGAGAACAACGTTTAATTGCGAATGAGTAGAACCTCATGGAAAAATAAATCTCGTATGAAATGCATAGTATGCAGTAAAATAAAGACAGATTAATGCACAAAATATTCAATATTAATATTATTTATAACATGTATAATGAGAGAGAGAGAGAGAGAGAGAGAGAGAGAGAGAGAGAGAGAGAGAGAGAGAGAGAGAGAACAACAAGAAGAA